GCCGAGGTGTGCCACCATGCCTGGATTGTACCAACATGCTCAGCTGTTTTTTTTTTCTTTTATTATATGAAGAAATATAATGATTTTTAAAAAAATATCAACAATAATCAGCTATTTTCTTAAAGTACCTTGGGCAATGCTAGCATTCAGTAAGTATAAGTAGTGATGGTAAGAGCAAATATCTCTTTATCTCATAAACTGAAAGGAGGTTGGTAACACGTCGAGCTGGACAGCCCCTCCTGGCAGCGTTCATCAACGTGACACAAATACAACCAGCTGTCATCGGAAGACATCTACGGTCATTTACATCTCCATTTTTTTTTCAAGCCTGTACAATTTCATAGCTCTTAAAGTACGGGCTTTGAAAGAAAGAGCATATTCTCTTAAAAATCAGTTTTAAAATAGTCCCAAGAGAGTACACTTTCAGCCCTTTGCTAACTTTCTGATTTCATCGAAGGGACCAAATGGTGACAGTTTGAGCATGTTTATGGGCCCAATTCCCCAGGGTGCATCCACCGCTAACATCTAACCTCCCCATACTTTTTTTTGGCCCAATTTCATAATTTTTATGTATAGGAAAATATAAGTGGTCCAGGAGGACTCTCATTTTAGTCTCTGGATTAGAAAGGATTCCCAAATTGCTTTTACAAATAATCATTACTAGGACCCAAGAGGACATCAGCGGACACCATGCCTTCTGGGTCAATCCCAGGGGAACATCAAAGCTCTTCAAAGACCATAGACAATCCACTCTTAGCTGTGATGTCACTGCTGTTCTCTAGAAACTTCACTTTAAGTAAGAGATAGCTGCACTTGCAGGCATCGTTTCAGGGCTGGTCTTCTTCAGCATTTGCTCCTTAGTAATCAATGCCTGTCCGTCTCATTGCATTTGGTCTGGGTTCTGTCACCAGATTTGGAATCCAAGCATTGGTCTGAAGTTCTTACCACAAAATGAAAAGGGAAAGCTGGTGAGTTTAATTAGGACTCAAAAATTTTATTTAATTGTTGAAAGGGAGATGAATGTTCCCCCTGTTGGAGATGCTACTGGTTATAATTTAGGTAACAGCTAAGGAATTAAAGTTTATTAGCTACAACATTGTTGTCAAGTTCAGCACAGAGTTCAATAAATAAATATATGACATGTTTCAAATAGACTGAATTCAGAACAAATTAAAAACTGTTTTTTTTTTTTTTTTTTTTTTTGTCTTTTGGAGATAGGGTCTCTCTATGCAGTTCAGGCTGGCCTTGATTTCACTTTGTAGGCCAGGCTGGTCTCAAACTGTCAACGATTTTCCTGCCTCAGCCTCCCTAGGCTGGGATTACAGGTGTGTGGCATCATGCTCAACAGAAAAAATTGCAGTGTGGAATGAAAAAGATACAAATATGTAACTATCTAGCCAACAAATCAATACACACACGCACACGAGCACACACACACACACACACACACACACACACACACACACCACCCCTGTAGACTTCAGAGGCCATGATAGGATTCATAAAATAGAAAGGCGATTCTCTCAGTGTTATGGTATTATGCATGTTCAAGACAAGGAACAGCTTTTCTTTTCTTAATTTCACATATTTTTCTTATTTTAAAATAGAAAATTGATGGATTTTAGTAAGGGGGATTCCAGCGCAGCATGCAAGTGGTGTGGGGCAACTATTTGAAGGGGTTCCTGATAGACTGTCTGCCTCCTCACTCCCTGCAGAGCTAGGAACAGCGGCCTCCTCTCACACTGAAGATCGTGCTGCTTCTGCTTTCATGGAGATGTGACATAATGCTAATGCTGACATGATAGCCCGCGTGTGACATGTGGTGGCAGCAGACGCTGTGGTGGTGGTATGTTTTAATAAGTGCCAACTAAAGAGGCATAATAAGCATACTTGTTTTGAGATCCCGGGAAATCTGGGGTCAGTTTTGACACAAGACCCATATAGTGGTGCCTCGGTTCACAAATTTAGTTCTCTCCACCAATCAAGTCAAATTCTGAGGCTAGGTTCAGTATTGATCTTGTGAGGAACTTTGGTACAGTTCTTCTCCAATGTGGTCTGTAGTCAGAATTGTGGACAACATTAAGTTTATGAACTGAGGCACCACTGTGGTTTTTTTTTGTTTTGTTTTTTTAAAAATATATTTGGGACAGAGTCTCACTACGTAGCTTGCACTCATAGAGATTCTCCTGTTTTCAGCCTCCCGAGCCCGGGGATCACAGATGTGTGCCACTACGCTTGGACTCAATGACCAGCTCAGCGCACATGAGCATGAGGTCTGTACGGCCTGTGGTGCTGGGGATCAAACCCCGGTCCCTCTGCTTGCCTAAGCAGGCGCTTAGTCCACTGAGCTATCTCACCGGCCCTACCACTGTGCTATTATCCAATAAAAATATAGCATCTTTTCTGAGCAAATTATTCCAGATCTGGCATTTGTACAGGGGTCGCTTACACCATGCTAGACTGTGCTATTATAAATATTATTTCTTTGGTTCCTTACCCAACAGGACAGAGATGACAGATGAAGCATTAGCATTTAAGAGCCCATGCGTGGGGTCCAATTAAATATGGATCTAAGTTCTCACTTCACAATGTGATTATTAAATAAGTATAGGCAGGCAAGTTATAATCATTTCTGAATTTCATCAGCTTCATCTGCAAATTAGGGACAGAAGACTTAAGGTACAGAAAGCAGCTTAGAAATGTGTGGAGGGCTTCAGTACACATTTTTTTTCTCTTCTTAGCTTCAGTGCATATCTGTAGAATAGACTGAAGAGACTACAGAGTAAGTCCAACATCATATAGTTGGCAAGTAATGAACCTAGGATTTGGACCAGTATCTGTGTGACTCCAATATTTATCTCTAAAACCACTGTGCTGTATGAATCACTCTCTAACAGAACTTGCTGCTTCATCTGTGGGCACAATTACTACCTTACTGTGAGAAATGAAACAGGCACCTTTCCACTGAGGGCTCTGCTTGCATTTGTTTTTCTAAGAGATCATCAGATCCTTGAGCACTGAGCTTTCTCATGTCCTTCTGCAATGAGGGGTCGTCTATGAGTCAAGAGCAAGCTTGCTTCCAGCTCCCCACCTTCCAAGATGCTTTTCCAAGTGTCCCAGAGGCCAACAGCGGGGGCCTCGGACAGAGCCTGATCGCTTTGCTTGGGATCCTCTTAGCTTCCCTTGACTTGAGCATCAGCTCAGCTTTCTCTCACTGCGTGGAAAATTCCCACTGTTTCTGGCTGTAATTTCACACCTGTCAACCAATGTGATGAAACAGGTGACCACGCCAGACCCTCAGCGTCAGCACCTGCCTTCAAGTTCCCCAATGGTTGGGCTTTTTTTTTAATGTCAGATTCACAGTTCTCTTGTGCTCTTGTCACCCTCCTCCCTCGTCCCACCCCCAACATCTGAAGAACATCCATGGCAAAACAAAACAAAATCCAAGCCTGATACTCTGTGATTTTCCTTGTCTAGATAAATGTATTTTCTTCTCTCCTTAACAGAATGAAGGATGAGACAAGAGATGATCTCTCTGATTCATACTGAAAGGAGGGATGTTCCCTTTGGCTGGCCTCTGCACTTTGGCTTTATTTGGAGATCATTATTTAATTGAGGAATAGCCTGTGAAGTGAGATTTCTAATCTCCTTTAGGCTAATAGAGTAAGGATCTCATATGGCTTCCCGTATCTGTTTTCAAGGAATCTGGCACAAGAAAACCTACCGCCTGTACATTAAAGGCCAGCAGATTTCCTGGCTGCCAAAGCCCGCAGCCTACAGGAGGACACTGGCTGCTCAGACTTTTCCAACCCTCAAGAGCAATGTAGGGAGGACAAGAAAGCAGTGCAACGAGTCTTTCCTTTTATGGGGATGGGAAGGCTCAGCTTCCAGTTTGACAGAGGGGATTCATTTAGAAAAAGAAGGCTCCCTTGATTTCAATCCCAATCCCTAAATCTCTCTTGGATGAAGGCTTTCCCTGTGTGCCTTTCACAATCAAACACTTGGCTATAGCCTCTCCCCTCCGTGGCTTTGAAATCCTCCCCTATTCATGCGGTCCCAAGGAGACAGCCCTGCGGCAGGGAGGCGGTGGCTTCCTGGCCTCTGTGTGGCTGGGTTCCTCCGGCGGAAGGGCTTCCAGCTAGCAGGGCTGCCCTTGGAATCACAAATGCCCACCACTCAGAAGAACAACAGCCCCATGCTGTCTCCCTGTCCCCAAATAGCCTCTTGCTACATTAATTGCATCACTGATGCATTAAAAAAATTAAGTGCCCTTTTTATTCTGAGGCAACCGTTTGAAAGGGAAAACATTCAAGACCAGCCTTTGTGACCGTAACTGATAACCCTTATTCGATTTTCCTTTACAGTTGCGGTCTCTGCATGAGAGGCACATCTACTATATTTGTAAGGAGTTTATGCACTGCAGTTTTTAGGGTATCATTTGCCAGGAAAGAACTCAGGAAGACTGCTCTGCCCAAAAGAGTCTTGAAAGAACAGGGCTAACTCAACTCTAATGGAATCAATCCTCCATTTGGCTGGTCCCCAAACACCCATGGCCCTTCTCACAAGGCATAGGTGAAACAGTTAGGAGTCTGACTTTTGGGTTAAGACAAAACAAAAAGCCTCTATGATTACCTCATTTCCACAAAGAGTTAATTAAAAACCACGCAGTTAACCTGCTAGGCGTCCCACTAGCTGTCAGCCAGAGTCCCGCGGTCCTAAAGCAGGGCGCGGGAGCCCACACGCGCAGGTCTGTCACCTGCACACAGGGCGCACAGGTGCTCACTGGGAAGGGCCAAGGTCTGCTAACCCCAGGGCCAATTGCTGAGGTGAAGGCTGCTGTGGCTGGGAGATTCCCACAGCTGTGTGTGGATTTCACCCTTGCCTGTTGCTGGCGGACAGGGGACAATGCCTAGTGTGCGCGGTGCAGCGACAGACAGGGCAGATGTGAAGCGTGCTAGCGGGCGCGAGGGAGTGCATGTGGGCAGGCGCGGGACACCGACCTGGAAGATGAGCACCTTGAAGTGGTTGCGACGCAGGAGCTGGGCGTGGTTGCTCTCCAGCCGCCTCACCTGCGCGCTCTGCCTGTCCATGCGCTCGCGGACAGCGCGCGTGTGCGCGCTCACCTTGCGCGACTTCTCCAGCAGCTTGCCCACCGTGCTGCTGGTGGAGGCCTGGCACTTGGAGAGCTTGGCGAGGTCGCCCTGGATGCCCTTCACCCAGCCCTCCAGGCTGATCTGCCGCTGCTCCATCTTGTGCTGGTTCTCCTGCACAGCGTCTAGCATGGTCACCAGCTTGTCCAGCAGCGTGTGAACCGTGACAGCATTCACCTGCGAGTTGTCCCTGATAGCCTCGTCCGTGCACCCCAGGTTCAGGCTGGGGCTGGGCGTGGAGGAGGGCATGGGGCTGGGGCTCGAGGTCTTCTCGGGGCGTAGGTCGGAGCTCGGGTGCTGGAACCTTTCGGCCTGGGCGGCGTCCTCTCCCATGGCTGGACAGGCTGGACAGGTGCGCACGGCCTTCCTCCCCGGAGCTGATCTGCTGGGGCCACACGGACAGAGGACAGGGTGCAGAAGGAGGCCTGCGGGTTTAGCCCTGAGCGTGGCTGTCCAGGACTGGCAGGGGTTCAGACAGGCACCAACTGGCTAAGCGGATCAGGGGAGCTGCATTCCAACTGCTGCGAAAGGCCCTGCTCCACCCAGTGGGAGGCGAAGGTCACAGGCCGAGAGCCACTCAGCAAGCGAGCTCCAGCTTGCACACACACTTCCTCACCGTCCAGGGCCCGCCGCCCGATCTCCGAGCTGCAGGGTTACGGGCCTTTCCTACTCCCCTTCCCTTTTTAAAATAAGTTCAATGCCATATTTCAATCATGACTTCATTTAGGGGCGGAGGAAAACATGCTCACTTGTCCCACCTCCACCAGCTGCAATTGGCTAAGGCCAGTAAACTTTTCTCTGGCTGCTATGCTTGCTTTAGAGCCTGTTTTTTTTCCTGGATACAAGTTATGGAAACGGAAAGTATTGTTTGCATTTGCCCTGGAACTGACTGATAGGTTGTAGAACTCGCGGGCCCTCCTGGGAGGGGTAGAGTTCAAGGGTGCTGGGCAGCCCTGTCTGTGCTGTTAGCCTCTCCTTTGCAAAAGAATGGAAGTAACTCTGACAGTGAGAGGCAAACTGTGCACTTATTATCCTGTTTCTCATGGAACACGGATGCAGAGAAAGCTGAAGGAGACTGAACTTTAGGCTTGTTAAGTAATGTTATGCGCCATTCCCGTGGGAAAGATGGGACAGTTTTTGTGATAGTTTTAATTTTTAAGAAATTAATTTTTTATTAGTGCACTTTAGAGGTACATAATGATCACCCTTATCACATGGCCTTTGAACTGCGCGTGTGACTTCTTCATGTCTTCTCCCCATTCCCTTTGCCTCTCTTCAACCCCTCCTTCCTTACAAACCTTTGTTTTCATTTTTTCCCTTTCTCTCCTTTTCTGCTGTTGTTCCCCTTTCTTCCATTCCCCTCCACCTTGCCTTGTTTCCCTTCCCCATTAACATTTAAAGATGAAACATCTTTTTTTTTTTTAATGTATTTGGTACGGGGTCTCACTACACACCTTGAACTCGAAATGATTGTCCTGTCTCAGCCTCCCCAACACTGGGATTATAGGCATGTGTTACCGTGCCCGCTCTTGGTGGCCAGCTCAGTACACCCGAGGATCCACTGAGCTATCTCACAGGCTAAAGATGGACCTTTTCTGAATGATCACTTATTTTAACTATAGGGCATTTTTGGGTTGTTTTTAGGACCTAAGATTGGCAAGTGACGCCTGTCTTCTATCCATATTGACCATTCCCACCACGCTAGTTTGTTTCAGCTGATTTTGAATCCACGCTGAGGAATTTTCTCAGATGCCTCTTCCTGCCTAGCATTCACTGACAGGCCCAGCAGGGCGACTGACTGCAGGACAGGTGAGCACCTCTCAGCTTTGACATTCCCAAAGCCCTGCTCTGTGAAGTGACACACCTGTTCTCAAATGTGGCCCTCCTCACCCAAGCCTTCGGGATGTTAGGCCCATCTCCAAGTTTCCATGCTTGGGTTGGTTTTAAATGTATCCAGCCTTCGAATGTGCTTTCACCAGGAAGTTTTTAACAGGACTTCTATGAACAAATGCAGCCAATATTGGATCAAAGATTGATCATGGGACAGTGTCATTCTTCAGTGGCAGCATCTTCACATGTGCTCATCAATCAACAGGTCCTTTGTTGTCACATTTATTGGATTCTGGCCTCTGTCTATGCAGGATCCAGAGGATTTTTACAAAGCAGAAGCCCCAGTCACGGCCCTCAATAAGTATCTCTGCTAGTTACGAAGATGAATTAGAAACATTTACAGAGACCCCCAATTTCCTCAGGTAACCAGCCTCTGCAAAGTTAATTTTAAAGTGAATTTTTTAAAAATAGAGATCAAAAATACACGAAAAGATTTGGTTGGGACTTTATCTTTTTTTTTTTTAAAGTAAAAGAATTGTTAAAATTAATTTGCCTTATATTTAACAAAATTTAGTTGGTCAGTGATGTGTTAAATGTTAGAACAAAGGATGAATCAAGTGTTGATTTTGAGAAGTATAATTTGCTAACAAAATTGCACAGTAGCATGATATCATGTCCTTTTATATTTGATTTCTATGGGCAAATCATAGAAAGTGTCATTATTTCAAAAATATTTGAGGGCTTCATCAATTTGCCAAGAGCCTCTCTTACATTTTGACATTCTAATCTTTCCCCTTAGAAACACTTATTGTGCCATCCTCCATGTGGATTTGTTCTTACAAATGTTAACTGTGCCAGCTGCAGAATTTCATTTGTTGGAGGAGCTGTCTGTGATTCAAGGGCTCCTCCGACACCACCTTCATCAATGTCCTGATTTCCTACATACATTGCCAGATCTGCGACTTCACTTTATAATCACTTGCCCTGATTTTGCATTGATTTGCACTGATTTTGCATTGCATTGTTAGGTACTGAATCATCAGCTAGATGATTACAGACATTAGACATTAGAGACCTGGGGCGTGAGGCGGAGAACGGAGAAATGCTCTCTAAAGAAGAAGAAAGGCTTGCTTTGAGTTTATTTTTTTAAAACCAGGTTTGAATAGCATAAAAAACATATTGGTAATCAATTGCTGTATAACAAATATCCTGCAGCTCAGTGCCTTAACTAACAATAACTCATGATCCTGATGTGACAGGCCTCAGGTGGTGGAGTTGTCCCCACTGAGCAGGTTCTTTCAGCTGTAGTTTGGAATGAGGAATCCAGCATGATCTCGTGCAGGTCTGGGTCCTCCGCGGGGCTGGCTCCTCCATCTTTTACCCTCCTCAAGCTCCCCATCAGATCTTTCTAATAGGGATATCAGACTTTAGATGGTGCCTTAGGATTCCAAGGGAGCAGACGCAGGGACTCTTAAGACTAGACGCTGGAAGTCTCTGGGTGTTCCTTCCACCATGTTTTACGGACACGGTGGGCACATGCTGGCCAAGCTCAGATTTACAGGGGCGAATAGACTCCGTGGATTTAGGAGAAGAACAGCAACACCAGAGCAGCGTGGGAGAGGCTGTTGTCGCCACTTTGGGAGATCACGTACATGATGCAAACGCACTCTTCTTTCAAAGGATGATTACAGATAAAGCGAAGGCCCCTTTGATCATCATCTCCATTCCTTTCTCTTTCCTCTCTCATCAGAGCTAATAATTCTTGTGGATTTAGAACACATTCTTTTGGAAACCGTAGTGGGAGTGATCGACTCATGTGTGGGCATTTTAATGCTGAGTTAAAGCTTGCTTTGTTGCATGGCCTTAAGATCACGGGAGCTACGAGGCTCTGTCCCTCCCCATCCCTGGGTGCAGCAGAATACAACTAAGGAGAGACTGTGATGCCAGCGCTCAAGACAGCAAGCTTTAGTCTTTACCTGGCCATCGGCTGCCCGTTGCTGCTTCAGGTGTGCAGTCCTCTACGCAGAGGTCACTTCAGGAGAACTTTTGCTTTGCTACTGGCTGGGGCTTTGGGCCAAAGGTGTATGTGGTTTTGCATTGTGAAGCATAGAAGTCTTCCTTAGCTCTTCGCCATCATTCTTAAGCCAGAGACAGTATGGAGTAGTTGGTACGACACGACAAGCAGCATGTATTTAAAAGACCAGAATGACAGGCCTCCCAAGCATGGCCCTAGGATCACACATTGCTATCTTTAGTGTTGTTGCTTAGTTCAGCATATATAGTTAGTCAGGGTGAGAATCCCCATCTCTGACAAAACTAAACAAAAAAAGGGGATACAAATGAAGGACCATTTTGTAACTATATATGCAAAATAGTTAGGATAGGTATACAGCTACTTTCTCTTAATTCAATGAGAAGAAAGATTTGTACTAATAGTATTTGGACAGGATATCATGTCTGCATCTTGTACTATGAATAAGCACTAAGAAGATAACAATATGCATTGTATTAATTATTGTAACTGTCCTACTGACCTGTTTTAAAAAAAAGAATAAAAATTATAAAAAGACTTAAAAAAAGAAAAATACAAAATAACTACCATTTTCTCTTCATTCATTGAAAAGAAAGAGTAGTGATAACATCATTTGGAGAACTTTTTTTGTGCCCATATCTTATATTCTGAGTATGTACTTTAAATATGATACACAATATATTAAATATTGTTATTATCTTATTCTTTTGTTCTAAATCTTTATTTTACTTTTCCATAAAATAATAAATACAGTTACCATTCAAAAGTACTGATTTTCAAAAAACAAAAAAATTCTTAAGCCAGAGGCAGCCATGTCCCACACATTGTCCTGGCCTTCAGGGTCTTGCTACCATGACAGCAAAAGGAATCCTGGAACGATGCACCTGCAGAAAGGATGGACCTTGTTTCCAGCAACTAAAGAAGCAGAGAAAGCCAAGCGAGTCACTCTGTACGTCTTTCCCTCTGGGCTGCCGTACTGGAGTTCAAAAGTCTTTCGAGGACTGGGGTAAGAAGCAGTCCTGGGGTTGTCTGAAAATGCTAACCATGTGAGCAGAAAGAACAATAGAATGACACATTCACTTGTTTTATGTCACTGAATTTGAGAGTGGTTTACGTTCCACGATAGCTATCTGGGAATATGTAATTTGCAATGAACATGCAATTCTTTAAGAATTATCATTAACAGTGTATAGATTTCTTCCCAGAAACAGTCTAATACCTTTTATATGCACTATTTTTCCTAACGCTCGATGCCTAAGACATCATAAAGCTAAGAGTTTTGTGTAATTACTCTTTCTTTAAGGAGATTTGAATTCTGGGTTTAGTACCAGAGGTGACAGGATACAAGCATCCTGCCAAGAGCAAACACAGCAGGCAGAGAGGCATGCGGGGCTGAAGGGTGGTCTGACCAGGCCCCGAGAACCTGCTGAACCCACCTTATGTGCGCCCTGCAACGACTGCAGGTGAAGACGCGCTGCAGAAAGCCCCAAGGGGCTGTCTTTTTTGTATTCCCTGCTGAGATGAGGTGGAAGAAGTGTGCTCCTTTCCCCAAGAAAGGTCAGTGAAGAAAATCTTGTGATTCTGTGCTTCTAGCCTCTTCTGACCCTAGCCCCCTGTTGTAATTTACAGGTGACATCAGTGGAGCAGTGTCTGAGAAAGGCCCAGGCAGATGAGGCCCAAAGCCACCGTCAGCCTCTGAGCCCTCACACCAAGGCCCGTCCTCCTCCCTCCCCTTATGGCATCACCTAGAGAACTCCAGGCACTTTGAAAGTCTCGGAAGACTTGCACTTTGGTTTGCAGGCATCGGTCTCCTCAC